GACGAAGAAAAAACTTTCCTCCTTACCCTTCATTTTTAGAAGATACCATTACGCAACTGAACGAATTACAAAATGAAGATTTTTTAATGTTTAGAGGGAAAAAATTTATATATTTACACGACGATTGCACTTTTATTTGCTTAACAACTGAAGAGAATCTTCAATGTTGGACAAGTTGCACAGATATATTTACGGACGGAACATTCGACTATGCTCCAAAATTTTTTTTGCAATTATACACCATTTGTGGCTATAAAAACGGTGTTTACGTACCTTTGGTATACTTTTTTTTTAAAGGATAAATTTAAAAACACATACATAAATGTATGGAAATATTTAATTAATATAAGTGAAAAGCAATCACTACTTTCTAAAATTGAAATATTACATATTGATTTTGAAATTGGTGTTATTCAAGCAACAAAAAAGTTTTTCCGGATGTCAAAATTAAAACATGCCGTTTTCACTTAGAACAAGCTTGGTGGCGCAAAATAAGTTGAATTAATATGAATATTTTTAGAAATAATTAATCAAAATCAATTTTCAGATTAATGGCAATACAAAGCTAAGAATGGCATACAACGATCAAAAGAACGATTTACAAAATTATGGATTAAATCATTTTTTGGACATTCTTTCATCGTTCCAGATGACGTGGAGGATGCTTTTGTAGAGCTTATAAGTACGTGTCTAAATATTACAGATGGACAACTATTTTCCGACTATGTTTTGGAGACGTATGTTGAACCTGGTTGTTTATTTCCACCTATTTTATGGGCTGAAACGCCATCACTAAATCCTAGGTATATATTTACTAATAAGCCAAAAAAAAATATTGTTTACTATATTCAGAACTACAAACGGGGCTGAAAGTTTCCATAGAACATATAACGCCCAGTTTACTAGTGCTCATTCTCCCACATCTGTTGTTATAAGTACGCTTATGGAAACTCAGGCAGAAACCGTCACTAAATTATCAACCATTTCCAAAGGAAAAATCCAGCCAAAATCAAAGGAAGAACTAAAGATAATCGAATTTGTGAGTAAACAACACGAAGAATATCTAAAAAATAAAAAACCAGAAAACTTACTAAGTATTTAGTTATAATTGGAAATAGATATCAGGGCTTTAAAATTTAAATTTTTTTCGATATCTATTTGAATATTTTATAATATTTTATTACAACGATTTTTTTATTGAGGTAGACTGAGTGTGAATATAAAGTATCTGTTATTTTTTGTAACTATTTGTACTATTTAACTTAAACACATATAATTTAATACATACATTTTAACATACAATACACATACAATTAAACTTAACAACATATACGACAAATAACAATTTTTTTTATAATTTTTTTAATAATAATAATTATTTTAAATTTTAATAAAAGTTGGCAACGTCGCATCCAATATCACGAGCAATCGTATGCTTTTGAATAGTCAAAAGCATGTTCTTTGTTAATCCGACACCGCGCGCAATCGTACTCCACCGGTCCATATGAGAACCATCACAGGTAAATTGTGGAAAGTTATTATTTTAAAATTTTATAAAATAAAATAATATAAATGTAGGTATTTGTAAGTGTATTATTCATTTTACAAAATAATCTTATTTGAAATAAGTTAAAATAGTTATCAATAAAATACTTTTTTTATAGTATTGCTAGTCTAAAGATTTAGACAAAATAGTATTAATATTTTACTTAAAGTATTTCCTGTTTCCCCTGTCAAGAGGGTCTAGTACCGCCTATGTTTGGCATCATGCCCATAGACTGGATTTATACTAACTTCTGCAGTTGGTTCATATGCTAAAGCCATGGGCGACCGCAGGAAATTTATCATGGTGGAGGAGCATAATTAAATTGAACACCAAAAAGTATATTAAAAAAAAACTTATTCTTAGCAAACAATAAAATATGTCAGAATTGTACACACTTTAATCGTTATCAAATAAAAACTTAAGTCTTTGCAGTTGTTCGATTGTAAACCTTGTTATTAACCATTTGATTAATTTTTTCCAGGGGGGGAAATGCCCCGTTTTGCCCCTCCTCCCTATAGGTGCTCATGGCTAAAACTGTTAATTTATTCGGAAATTGAAGAAACTATTTACTTTTATCAGTTGTAGTATAAAGCGAATTTTCATATATCGATAAAAACAAAAAAAATTATATTCAAATGCACATGTAAAGACATTAAAAAAATTTGAAACCACTAGACAGATATCTTAAACTTATGCTCTAAAAACTGTGCTTGAAACACGAGATTCCATTTTAGAAACTTTAGAAGATATAAAAAGGTTAGAAGTTTGATTTTAAAATAGGTGCAGAATGTACAGGGTTACTTTATTTTTTGCAGTCTTTTAATTTTTTATTGACAACACATATTTTTAAAAAAGTATTTTATTTTATTGAAACTATTAGTAGAGCTTTACAAATTCATAATATTGATATACTAATGGCTATTGAACTAATAAAAAAAAACAGAAAACATTAATTGTTTTAGATCTAGTAACATGTTTTTCAATATTTATAAATCAGTAAAAAAAATTTGCCAAAGACAATCATTTTGAATTTGAACTGACTTTATCAATAAAAAGACTTAGACAAGTTCCACGGCAGCCCGGTGAATTGTTAATGATGAACAAATACATGATCCTGTGATAGCTTATAAAGTATACACATATTTTGTGATTATTGATAAAGTATTATCTGAACTTTATAAAAAGTTTAATAATAAATCTATTATGATAACAAAGAATATATATTTATTAGCAATTAAAGTAATTGCTAGTACTATCAAAAATAAAAAAATATTTGTTGATACATTTTCTTCTATCTGTATTAGCTATAATCAAATTCTTAATAAAGAAGATATTGTACGAAAATATGAACAAATTGTAAAATCGAATAATAATTTGATTTTATTAGACAAAAATTTATCTATAGTTTTAAATGCATAAGCAGACGAGTCAGATTCAAGTAGTTCAAATTACTCTGTTAATGAAAATGAATCTGTTAATGAATCTCTAAATATTTTGAAAATATATCTAATTACGTATTTATTATGAAGGGTTACTAAACATTTTTCCAAATTTATTTATTGTTCTAAAAATTGGTGTAACATTACCAATTTCCAATGCATCGTCAGAGAGAACCTTTTCAAAACTGAAATTAATAAAGACAAGACTTCGTTCTACTATGGCCTAAGATCGACTTGAAGATTTAGTGATCATTCCTGTGAATCTAATATAAAAACTGATACTGACAAAATTATAGATAACTTTGCCGTGAGGTCTTCTATTTTTACAAAAACTTTCACCTATTAAAATATTAAGTTCATTTTAAATAATAAAATATTATTTTTTAATGTTATTATATTTTAATTTTAAATGTAACTGAATATTTTTGTTAAAATGTTATGTTATTTTAAAACAAACTTGATTTCTGTACCTACATAAAATATCGAAAAGTTTTTTTTATTCTTATGTACATAAATAAAAATAATAACCCCATGGTAACATCATTATTTTATATTATAATATAGTATTTCATTTTAAAATTTTTATAAATGAACATGAATAATAAAAAAATCGGGAGCCTATCTCTTAGATTAGTGGTTCCCAACAGGGGGAGTCCCCCCCCCCCCCGAAGGAATTTAGATACTGAACGGGGGGGATTATTTTTTTGATGATATAACGAGAATTTTATTTGCTCTGTGAGCATTAATCCCATTTATATCAACGTATCTCTGTGTGTCAGGCTTTTCCACGCTTTTGCAAATAAAAAGCAAGCAAAGAAATCTGTTGGATATGGAAAATAATATGCGTTGCGCGTTATCAAATATATCCTCATGGATTATGGACCTGGTAAGAAAAAAAAACTCAAATTTCGCATTGAATTGATCTTACCATCATATTTAATTATTATTTATAAAATTGTATTCAAAAATTTATTAATTATAAAGTTGATTTGTATTTTATTTTTAAAATGATGATAGAAAAAAATGTCATTAGTTGTATAGTATAATATTATAATATATATAGTTATTTTGCAAAATTTTCTTTGTATGGCTTACTAAAATAAGGTCATATTATTTCTAATTTAATGGAAGAGCGCATGAGGTTTTTTAAAATGTACAAGGTGAGGGAATGGAATAAAAAAGGTTAAGAACCATTGTCTTAGATCTTAGTTTGTAATACAGTAAGTGTAAAGTGTGTCTCATCTTTTTTTATATTATTGTGTAATTGTTTTGTACAGTGTAGTTGGTGCTTAGGCGGTATGGGGAGGGGGCGAATTTCCCCACGTATTTCTTCATGAAATAGGTGGGTAGGTAATATGGGGGTGTAAGTTATCTACCTGCCAAATTATTTAAATTTTAGTTCGACGCTACTGAATAAAATAATAATAGATTAATTCCCTGATGCAACATTAAACATTTTTACTCTAGGATAAAGTAATTATTTACATTGAGCAGATAATTAACATCTCATCTGAAATTATATCAGAATAGGGGTTAACTAATTAGCTGACAATTTTTATAATTTTTTTCAAAAAACGTACTGACGTATTAATAGAAAAATGTAATCTTAGTTTTTCAATTAATTTATATTTCATTATGACGGAATAGAATACTATATACAATTATGATGTTAATTTTATTATCAGTCATGTAACCTTTAAATATATAAAATAAAAGTCATCAAGTACGCACCCCTATTTAAAATGTAGTGAAAATCATGTTTTCTATTGTATTTACATTTTATTATTCTATAAGAATAATATTTAATTTAATTATCTATTTTCAGATCATAAATATAGTTATTTGGAGTTGTGTTAAGTCTAATAATATAATATTAGTACTTATGTAACATGTCTTATAATAATAAAATGACCATAATAATTGTGTATAAATTATTATATTAATATTTTTCTGCAAGGTAAAAAATGTGATTACCTAGTTTTAAATACTTAACGTCATTTTAATAACTAGTTGTTTATCTCTAGCTTGGTACAGATATAGGATAGAGGTAATAATCGTTAGTTACGCTAAGTAATTACATCAGGGGATATTTCCCTCTCCCACAAGTAACAACATGTACGAGGGGCGAGGGTTACCGCATGTTTCGATATATTACATTTTATTTTGATAAGTCCATGGGTCATACGAAACTGAGTATTTCAATGATACTCATTCCACTAACTCGTGTGATTGATGAACCGTTTGTGCACCACGTATGATAAATTCTAAAAATAAAAATAAAATCAATTAAAATGTAACCGCCATAAATCTTTTTATAAATATATTCAAAAAAAAAAATTGAACATTAGTTTATAAGTTAGGATATTTTACTTTAATTAGTTAATGGGTTGACGGGGGACGTGCTCTAATGGTGTCATCTATTTTGTTTATGTATGCTTACCAATTAGTATATAAGATTTCTAATAATGCCGGTGGCGTCTTTTTCATTTGATATATTTTTTTAAAAATGACAACTATACAACTACGGCTATATATTCTAATGACAAGACTATTATATTCACAAATTCTAACCCTATTATTGCCTCACATCATCTTCAAAATTATCTTACTCTTATGGAAGACTGATACACCAAATGACGGCTCAAAATAAATAAATCTAAATCTGTACACACCACATTCACCCCTTCGTCTTGTATCTAGCTCAAATTTCTTCATATACGTCATTCAAGTTTTCCCACAATCAAATACCTCTGATTAACATTCAGAGGCGTGCTCAACAATTTTGATTTGGGGGTGGGGGGGGGTCAAATTTTTTTAATACAATATTATAATCAATATGAATTATAATTAATATGGAAAATTATAAGTAAACAATGTATCATTTTTGTAGCATAAAACATTTATTAAATTAAAATCATAAAACAAAGTCAAGTTTGCGAGGTTTTTAACAACCTCGTCAAGGAATTCTTCAGCTGAAAGTGGTATATTTTAATTTTATTATGCGACATTTTAATTGTAAATTAAACAATTTCAAAACTCAAAATATGAGCACAATTGCACAATTGAAAACAAATTTATACAAAGAATAAATTATATAATTATTATTAAAGTAATCTATGATCTGATATTATATGATAAATTAATAACTTGAGAATTATATTTTGTGATTCATGATTGTAGGTACTAGTTAGTAGGTAGTTATCATGGTCTTAGAATAATAATAGTTACTCTCAACAATATCAAATAATACAGAAAATAAGGAGAAAATGGTACCTAATAAATAAATAAATAGATAAAAAATAAAACAAACTTTAAAATTGGGAATTACAATAATTATAATTATATGTAAGTAGTTAATATATATTATATATTTGTAAAGTATCCATGGGGGGGACGGGTTTGAACCACCTGTCCCCCCCTTGAGCACGCCCATACTAACATTAGAATATAGGTTTACCTAAACTCAACGCATCAGTTTAAAAATCACTAACATTTACTCAATATATATTATGAAAAATAAACACACCTATATAAACACTAAACTTCTAATTTAATTAAACCAGTCTGGATGTACGACATTCAACTTTATGAAAATGACGAAAAATCCAATCTTAACAAAATTCAGTTATTTCATTATATAGCTGTCAGAAAATTATTTAATCCTCCTTATGTCTAAAGTTTCACTATATATTCTGGACTTAAACTTAAATGATGAAGCAAAAATACATTATAAAAGTCCTATCTGATATAACAACCTGTTAATACAAAGTCTGGCATTCCCCTTCAAATTCGGCAACCCACCTATACGTTTAAAACGTAAATGGTGACGTTACATTTTATTTCCCTCATAAGCAAATTAACTCAATCAAATAATATAAAACAAATAAATTTGTTTACTAGCTTGATTGTCATTAATGGAGAGTATTAGAACTTATCTAGATGAATTATCTAGATAGTTAACTATTCATATTTTATTTCATCTAGATAAATAGTTACAAGTTACTTTAACATTTATCTTTGACAAGGGAGTAGGTAAGGGGGGCGTTGAGGGGTTCGAACCCCATTCATTTAAAAATCCCAACCAGTTAACAAATAATAATAATAATTATCAGTAAAAAATTGTATGTAAGCGTAATAATGTAATTTACCTTTTAGTTAAATATTAAAAAACAAATATATTGCTAAATTATATGGAAGATTGAAGATGAATGTGCATCACGAATTTATTAATTATAACAAGCTATAGAAAACTCACAATTTGTAGTATCGCTGTTCGTTTTGTGAAAAATGTTCAGCTTTTCCGGAAATTTTAAAATTTTTTTTCAAAATCAAAATATTGATTTGACCGAAGCATGCAAATGTAGATATCGTAAAAAAAAAACAGAAGATATACTAAATGATAAGGAATTTTTAAAAATTGTGACAGATTCTAAAGAACTTTTAGATATTGAATTACTTACAGAATCACAAACAGATAAAAAGGATGAACCAATAATCTTTTACAGACAGCCGAAATATATTATAAAATAAATGTTTACTATCCATTTCTTAACCATGTACTAAGCAAACAAGTAGCCAGATTTTCTAACCATCAAGAAAAGTTTGGGAACCTTCAGATCTTACTGCCAAAATTTATGAAAAATTAGAATGATGTTAAAAACAAATTACTAGAAATTCATAAGATATAACTGCTAAATGAAAAACTCGAAAATCTGTTGAGTAAGTATCAATTATGGAGCAAGAAGAGGAAAGAAATAAGTGATGACTTAAATGAGTTAAATGCAATTAAAACCTTGTAAAAGTGTGATAAACAATTATTTTCTCTCATTAATACTTCTTTTAAATTTTATTTACTCTTCTTTTGTCTACTGCAAATGCGGAATGTACTTTTCTACATTAAAGTGCTTAAAGACATATTTACGAAACACCATTGGTTAAGAGTGACTTACTGGACTTAATGGACTGAGACGTAATTGTTGATTCTTTACAAATTGTGAACAATTTAATACAGATAAGGCAACAATTAAATTTACTTGTATAATATTTAATTTTTAAAAGTAATGTTAAAAGTATTTAATTTATATACCTATATTTGTATATTTTTTTTGTGTCAGCTTATTACTACTAATTGAAAATCAAAACCTCCTCCATTAATAATAATCTATACCTACGCCTCCGAGCTTTGATTAATATTTTACTAATCTATATTAATTCATCTAGATACATTTTGATCACCAAAATTATGCAAAACAATTATTATTTTTTTATTTCAATTGTCAGTCAAAATTTAAAAGTTATAAAACAAATAATAAAATTTAAGAAATGTATAAATAATGATAATCTTTTTCTCGTTACATGCTGGTAGGTACTTATAATGTTTATTGTTCATAAATAAAAATTGAAAATATACTTACTACTTAAATCTACTTAGGTGCCAGGAGATCATAGGAAATTGTCAAGATATATAACTATAACTAACCTAACCTAGTTTAATCTAATCTACATATTTTAAGCTTTTTTGATGTTAAATTAACTTGTTTAATAGTTTGATTAGTTTTGGAGATGTATAATGATAGTTTTCTACAGTTAAAATATACGGATGTGATTAGAACATAATATATTAATTTGAAAAATATCCTACGCATAGATTTATTGTAGTTGACTCACTTAAATTGTTGAATTAAATCCTTTATTTTTCCGGACATAGGACATTCAAATGAAAGGTTCATGGTGAATAGACTGACGAATACTTCGCTTTTTTTCAACAAGATCGTATTTCTGAGGAAAAAATATATTTTATCTAAACTTTATTTTAATTTAATTTTTAAGTTGATTTTGTATATATAACAGTATACTAATATTGTGCAATTTTAAATGTGTCTAAATTTTAATGTATCGTACAATTATATTTCATCGCTACGGTATACGTAATCTATACTTACAGATCAATTTGATTTGTTCCACAGAAATTCGATGACAGCTGTCTGTAAGTGAAACTGTATAAGAAACTTATATGTGATTATATGATATATATATAAATATATATAAATATATAAATATATATAAATGATATATTATATGATATATAAATATATATTTAGTGGTTTTAATGGAATAACAGCCACCGTTTAAATTTAACATCCTACTTAACACAATTTCGACTCACTGGAAACGAAGTTTTGTTAAGTCTTCTATTTCTTTAAACATGGTAATACTTCCACTATGATATTCAGATGTTTGTGGAGCCAAAATAGTTGTCAGAGCAGTTGAATCGACAAATGCAAGATTTCCCCGTAACACTGACTTTCTGAAAAAATCAATTCATTCTATTATATTCATAATTTCAATAGCATAAATCTTATCCATTTATCTAGTTAATGCGATTATAATATTTAACTTACGTAACCGTTTGGACGTCTTTACTGTCATTCAACGAGAGCTTTCTATAATTGAACAAAACGCATGTGATTAGAATATAAACAAAATACACAGATTTTTAATTTGTTGAATCGAATAAAAACCACTAATTCAATTTAACGTATCATCAACTCACTGAAATCGTAATATCAAATCATCTATATCCTCGGATGTAGTTTCTCGTGCAGGATATGCAGGTAATCGATTCACGGGCGATGTACCAATCAATGCGCCGTTTCTTTGTAAGTCCGTACTTCTGCAAAAAAAAAAAAAAAAAAAAATTGATCTATCACAATATATCTACGAATTTCCAATACACTTTAAATTTTATTTTTGACGTGTTTTCGTTTAAATTTATGTTTTAATGTTTTGATATCAAACATCATATATTTATCTAGTGTATGCATGACGATAATATTTAACTTACGTAATTGTTTGGCTATTCCCATTGTCATTCAGAGAGAGCTTTCTATAAATAAATGTAAATTAATTAATCGTACGTGATTAGAACATAATAAACTGAGTTGTTAATTTTATATCGAATAACAGCCATCAAATGAATTCAAAGCAATATCGACTCACTGAAACTGTATAATTAAATCCTCTATATCCATATCGGACGTAGTTTCTCGTGAAGCAGGTACACGATTAGCGGTCAGTGCATCGACAAACACGTCGTTTCTCTGCAACACACTACTTCTGAAAAAAATAAAATAACATATCACCTAATTACAATATACTCTCAATACATATGATGTATTATTTTTGACGTGTTTTCGTTTATATATATTATGTCTAGGCATTTCGATAACAAATAACTTCATTCAAAAATCTAATCTACGTGATAATATTCAACTTACGTAACAGTTTGGCCGTTTCCGCCGTCATTCAACGAGAGTTTTCTATATGTAAATGCAACGTACGTGATTAGAACGTAAAACATAGGGTTTTTAATTTTATATTGAAAAACCACCACCGATTAAATTCGATGCAATATCGACTCACTTAAATCGTAATATCAAATCTTCTATATGATCTTCTGATATAATATATCTTAATGGATACCTATATGGATGACTTAACGTAGACGATACACCGTTGAACGCGTCATTTCTCTGCAACACCGTACTTCTTAAAAAATAAAAAATAAAAAAAAAGATATTATTATTTATTTGTATCTGTAATTTGTAATTTATAGCGCTTCTATGTTTGAATGTGTCTTTTCAAGTTATTATGTTCGTAAATAAAATAAACAATTTGACAAATTTTTAGATTCTGAGTGAAACGAGGATTTTGTTTTTTGTTTTTTCTCTTAAAATGCTACACACATAAAAGCTCTATTGGTAAGTACCCTCATGCCTTAATTACTATCTATCCGTATTAATCGATAAGCTGTATCGTAAGGGCAACTCAGGATAGTCCATTGCATTTTTAATGATAAGAAAGTATACTAAGTCTGCAAATATTGTATATTGTATAATAGGCAACCATAGCACACCAGGTTTATAAGAGTATTTTTGCACTAATAGGTTTTTTTACTTGTGATGAACTTTGGTCACTTATTATATAGTTTCTGTCTATTTTTTGTCTTATACCATTGGCTATAGGATTTAAGACACTATATATTAACTTACCGGACCGTCTGATTCGTTTCGCAGTCATTCAATGATAACTTTCTGTAATTAAAAGAAATTTATATGATTGAATTAATAAATTTTGGTAAAATAATAGCCAGCTTAAATTCAATAAATTATTGACTCACTGGAATCGAAGAACTAAATCATCTATTTCTCTTGATACTGTATCTTCCATATGATGTTCGGACGAACGACTCGTGGTCAATGGATACACGAATGCGTGATTTCTGTGCGACAACATATTAAAACATTAAAAATAAATTCGTTATGAAATTCAACTTGACACAATAGCATTGAGTTCTATCTATAAAATAATATACCTGATACACATCATGAGATCGACTTGACTATACAACAGCAATTTAACTTTAATATCAAAATATATTAGACTGTTCTGATTAGACCGAATGTAAATTGAGATTTGTAAATTGAAAATGTCAATAGCAAAACACTCTTTAAAAGAGTAAATTATATAATTTTTTGTCATGGTTACCTAACTTAGTAATTACTAATATATTGTAGCCAGTAGCGTAGTTATAAAGTTATAGGCTCGTGCAATATATTTCTGGTCAAAATTGTTAACATTTTGAATTTTAAAATTACCTCACAATCGTTTTTATAGTTTAATTAAACATACTGTCATGTGGTGTACTTGTAAATATTTTGTTAAGAAAATGTTTTTATGAAATTTATTGTTAATATGTTATATGTACTATTCTACATTAAACTATGTTTTTACATTTAAGAGTGAAATTATTACAAAAAATTTCAAGAAACACTACACATGTGTATAAATGCCTGTGTGGAAAATGCATTTTGTTTTTTTTTAAATTGTAGTAATTGAATTTAAGAAAACAATTATAACTATTCTAACATTTTTGTGTACACACGTTTTTACCTTAGTCCCCCAGCGTTGATCTGTCTTATCATCCCGTAACGCTATGCATTTGTAGTTTATGTTATAAGTAGGGCATGGATGTTGTTGCATTTTCAACTTTCCTTCTACCGGTCTAAAATAATTTGTAATCCCTTTAGTTTGAGGTGATATTATTCTAGTTGAGTTACTGATAATAGTAAACATGTATAGGACAATAATTCAAAGTGGTTTTAAGTAATTCGTTATCAGGGAAATTACATTTCGGTACAAAAATAACTGGTTTATATTTTTGAACTTATTAATTAATAATGAATATTAAGAAATTATAAATTAATTCAATTAAGTAATGTATGTAGTATAATTACAAATGGAAACTCAACTCATTTATATTTACGTAGGGTCAAGTGGGGTAATTGGAAACAATATTATTAAATTCCACTTATTTTATACAATTATTTGTTGTCATGACAACTTTCGGCGATTTCTGCATTGTGATCTAATTAGAATACTTTTAGTTATGACAATGATAGTAAATAATAATAATAATGAAAATTATTTTGATAGTAAATAATAATAATAATAATAAATAATGTCCTTAAACTAGTATATATTGATTTTATATAGTTGAATATATGTTACCACCACACATTAATAAGAAATTAATATCGTTTCCAATTACCCCTATTTTCATTTACCCCACTTGATCCTACATCAAAACAGTATCGTTCAATAGGTATACGAGTAAATTTAATGCCAGGTGACTCACTTATGTTTTTCAATTATGTTATTATTTATTTTTTTAAGATAAACAGAAAAAAACATTTTTTCACTGTTTTTCATTCATGAATTTAAAAAATCTATTAGTTATTATAAGTTATAGTTATTAAGCTTATGGAAAACAAACCATGGCTTGTGTAAATAATGATAAAAAAAGTAATGTAATAATTGAAATTTCCTTATCATAGAAATCGATAAAATACGTTTTACATAAATAAAAAATATTTTCGTATGGCGAATTAATGCGGCAACATAAGTTACATACATGCGGGGGCACATAATACAGTTATAATCAAGGTTATATCCAAGGAAGATTTGGGAGGTCACCGGACCCACAGTTTTTTTCTCATTATTATTTGGCTCTTATTTTGATTTTTGACATAATTTTATTAAAGTATTGAACAATTTTTATTTAAAAAAAATACAAATTTTTTCAACTACGGATACAGTAATTTGAAAATATTTTACACAAATCTAACCCAAAGTTATAAATTTATAAATTTCTATTACAAAATAATAAATAGATTAAATATACGTATTTATAAATAAATATATATATTCAATCTATGAAAATATACTCTAGTCACTGATACTGTTGACTAATATAACATGTATTATGTTTGGCTGTTTATTTTTAGATGGATTCGATGAAAAAATAAATTCAGCTTTATACATTCAAAATGGTTAAAAAAATAAACTATTTCTATATACAATGGTTGTTAATTTTTTGTTTAATTCGGCCTCTTTTAATATATTCATCAGTTCATATTCAAATAAGTTGCTGCCGATTACACCATTATACAACTGGGTGACTGAGGGTGCCCCGACTTCATCATCATCACACAGGACGGCAGCCATCTGTGACAGCCGTAATCCATACACATAATGAATAACATAACAAATATTATACTAAGATAATAAAAAAAAAGCCTAAGGATAAACGACGTAGTGATAATCCCCCTTGGACTTTTTATTATCACAAATGTATTTGATATTTTTTATGTTAGATACGGTCTCATAGATATACATATTATATTTTTTTCTAGTCAAACACTAAATTTCAAGTATTTTTGGCCAATTTTTATAGCATTAAGCATATTTATGAGTTGTTTGGTGTTATAAATGTGTAGCCCTGTTTATGTAAACAATGGATTATATGATTTGGATAATTTTTGATTAAATATTATTTTATGTTTATCATTAATCAATTAATAATTAACTGTTATATTAATTAAAATTAATATATTTAAATCTTGAAGATAAAATAAAAAAATTGCTTTTTAATATACGTATGAAATCACCTATATTCAAATCCCAAAATTCTTTGCACTTTTTCTTATTTCTTATTGTTTTTAAATTGTAGATTAAACATAAAGTTAACCCTTTAACTGCTGACTTCAAAAATCTAAAGCATCTACTCAATGCTGACGATAATTCATAAAATATTTAAATAGTATTTCCATCTTATAAGATATATATTTATATACAAAATGTACCTAAAAAAATTATAAAAAAAAAAATTTGGGTCAAAACTCACCAAGTTATAGATAATTGTAAAACTCTTAGACAGTGGTTCTTAAAATGCATTCGATTAAATTCAAGTACAAAATCAATTAAATATTCAGACTTGTACTTGCTTTTTATACCACTTCATTGATTTTCGTACACATTCAACATAACTAAGAAGCATATCACATTCAAGATAAAATTTGATTTGAAATATTTCCGTTTATCAATAATTAATCATAGTTTGGGAATCCTGGAAAATCAAATATTTATTTTCACCTATAACTTCTATTAATAATGTTCAGAATTTTTTTTTACCGTCTCTTTAAATTTATCTAATCATTTACCACATGTGCAAGTGATCACATTATTAAATTATGAAAATAATTATTAATTATTATTTTTATTTTTTATTATTATTTTTTGTTATCAATAGATAACAGCTATTGTTGATTTTTAAAATGATGGACGCATATGTGTATCCGTAACACCACAGAGTCTCTTATGTTGGATGACAAAGATATATAATACAATTAGATAGCAGACTTCCTGTAGCAGCAATATAAAATATTGAAATTGGGAAAATGGCCGACTTTTCTTATCAAAAGGCCCATTGTTTACATAGTTCTTGTTGATAAAATTGTATTAAGTAATAACGTATTAGTGTATTAATGTAATACTGTATTAGAAATTTGGAAATCACAATATTACAATTTATTTTATTTTAATTAATTTCTTTATTAAAATTAATTTAAGATGGTGCATAGATGTTTTGTTGGAAATTGCCCTAATAAATAAGTAACTGGAAGCGGTATTCATTTTTTTTCGTAAGTAACTATTTAAAATTACAAGATTACAATTTCCTATAAATTATGTTTCATATAATTTATTTAACTTATTGTTTTAAATAGATTTCCAAAAGATGAAGACCTAAAAGAGTAATGGTTAAAGTCTATAAAAATAAAGTATGGTGTACAAAAAAAACATAGCCGAGAAAAAAAGAAGGAAGACCAATAACCAAAAGTACAGCTTCACCTCGTAAAATATTAATTTAGAAAAAATTTAAAATCCTTCAACAAGAAGTAAGAAGACTAAACACTAAAGTAAAAACTCTTAAAGATGTATTGGAAGAATTAAAAAATAAAGGATTGATCAAAAATGGTCCATGTGATCTTATAGAAAATTAATTTTTATTTTATGACATTTTATTAGGTATTTAATAAATAAAAGATTTTTCATTGGAATTGATATATTTTAAACTTTTTTTATTATTTTAATTTTCATTTGAATATTTAACATAAATCATGACAAATTAAAATACTACTTTGTACTTTATCATGAAAAAACACACAATACACAAATCGAGTAAATCGATAATCGTTGATTCTTTATTATCAATAATCATAATGTAAACAAGGGGATCTTTGATAAGAAAAGTCAGCTATTTACTGGGCTTCAAAATTAGTTTGTAGTCGGCTATTAAGATTTATTATATGTATATCTGTGTTGGGGGCATATAAGCGTCCATAGCAGTGAAAGGGTTAATATTACGTATGGGCGAACGTAGACCAGCTGGTAAGGTGGATATATATATATATATATATATAAATATCCACCTTGCTAACTGGATTGGCTATATCGCATCCACATAAAAATATTATTATAAATGTAGAAGGAGTCAATAATATATTATTATATAACCTATAGGTTTGCAAATGAAAAAAAAAGAAATGTTAAATTATTATTGTAATTAATATTTTCAAATAATGTATTTTTTTATTTAAAACTAAATAAAGCCATACCTACAGTTAATTATAAGCGTCGTACTTATTTTATTGTAAATTTCTCAAATTACGATCGTTTTCATTGCATTTTACGAATGGCTCTTAAATATACCTACTTCCAATAGGCGAAACTACGGGTCAGCCCAGTCGGTCCAAATGCTGATCTAATAATGGCTGAATATCATACTGACTTAGGAGTTAGTAGAATTTAAAATTAAAATTATTATACACACTTAATTCCCGCGTTAAAAATGACTACAATGTTGTGTTTAAATAACTATATATTGTTACGTATCGTCAATTCAACAGTTCATATGAAGGATTGTTGTTATGATTACTCCAATAAAGATACTCGAACTAAGTTAAACTATTTTTATTGAAATATTCTAATTATATTTAATTAACTTGACAAATAGACTTGCGTGAAGGAACTTGGTAAGGTTGGATAATTACATATCTGAATATTGGTCTGTCAACAACCCCCTTATATACAGGGCCATATTTATGCAAGGACAAATGGGACATTTGCACTGGGCTCACTCGAAAGAGGGGCCCACCGACTTCAGCCTTATAAAATTAATTATATACCATTTTTATCATATTTTGGGAAAACACAATTTTACTTGGATATTTTTGTGGGTATAAAATATAATAAGGATTTCGCGAAAACTACGCTTTAATCAACATTGACGATAACAAAATCTAATTGTCGTTATTATCGTCGTAATATCATGTAATAATATATTAATAATAATCGTAATATAATTCTATTGACGTTGTCTTGCGTAGTTGTGTGGTGCATTCAGTCCCGCGTTTTACGTCAATCGTATTTATTGTATATTTATAATTTAAAATGTCAAAAAAATATTTAAGTGGTTCAATGAAAAGAAAATTGAAAGATAAAAGAGATCAAGAAACAAAAAAATTACACGGTAGTTTGGATAAATTTACATTTAGTACTAATTTATCGACTAGTGTACCATTGCCAGGTAATAAATTTTTAATAACAATATGAAGTCATACTCTTATATTAACTATTATTTTTAGAAACAGACGTTACTGAAATATATACCAACGAAAATGAAATTACTAAAATTGAAAAATCTGTTGAAGTCTGTGGTATTACTAGTACTAATTTATCTACTAGCGCACAATCGCAAGGTAATACATTTTTAATAAAAATATGAAGTCATACTCTTATATTATTATTTTTTAACTATTATTTTTATAAATTATCACGAATTATTATTTTTAGAAATAGACGTTACTGAAAAGTATACCAACGAAAATGAAATTACTAAAATTGAAATATCTGTTGAAGTCTGTGGTATTACTAGTGCTAATAATTCCGATGAAAAATGTGCCATTAATAATACTAATGTGACTGTTACAACTGAGGTATGTTTGATCGATAAATATTGATAATAATGACATATTAAACCCAGATTTACCACCAAACAATTTTGCACGATTCTCCGGTGATATTTTAACATGGCCACCGAAAATTTCGGAAAGCTTTCGGGAATACTTCACTTTAAATACTCCAAAACAAAATATAGATTGTATTCATAATTCAAAAAAAAATATTCGAGGAGTTCTACGAAAATTAACTAAAGAACATTTTTATTTAACTAAAAGAAGTGGTCATGAAATACATAGAAGTTGGTTGATATATTCACCGTCGGCTGTTAGTTTATTTTGTTATATTTGTAAGCTATATTCACCGAATAACACGCTGTTATGTAAGTAGGGTTTTAGTGATTGGCAACATACTAAAGAACGACTTAGAGAATATGAAAATTCATTTATCCATAGAAAAGCCATTTGTGATTTTTCAAACCGCTCTATAGATATTAAACGTATTGATTGTCAACTAGTTTTACAATACAAAAAAGATGTTCAGTACTGGAGGGACGTTTTAAAACGAACAGTAGCAGCTGTTCAATTTTTAGCTCAACGAGGATTAGCATTCTTTGGAGAAAATGAAATTATAGGAAATGGGCATAATGGAAATTTTTTGGGTATAATGGAGTTAATAGCAAAGTTTGATCCATTTTTAAAAGAACACCTCAATAATTATGGGAACGTTGGTAGTGGTAAAACAAATTGTATTTCATTATACACAGTTCGTGAAACCATAATTTTAATGATAGATAAAGTTTTAAAACATATAATAGAAGAAATAAAAAATTCAACATATTTTGGAATGATTGTTGATTCTACACCTGATATCACTCACATTGATCAATTAGCTATTGTATTGCGATACGTTAATTGTGATGGACAACCAGTTGAACGTTTTGTAAAATTCCAAGATATTTATGGGTATACGGCTGAGTATTTAACCATTACTATAGTTGAAATAATTAAGAAATTTGGTATAGATATTAAAAACTGTGTTGGACAGTCATATGACAATGCCAGTAATATGGCCGGAAAGTACTCAGGATTACAAACAAGAATAAGAACACTAGCTCCCTTAGCAATATTTTTACCTTGTGCGGCACACTCGTTAAACCTGGTCGGTGTTCATGCAGTTGAAAATTGTAACGGTGCAGTTGAATATTTTAGTATAATTCAATTTGTTTATAACTTTTTTTTGTCTTCAACTCATCGTTGGAAACTTTTATATCAACATCTAGAATGTAATGAAACGCTAACTATTAAATCGTCTTCACAAACACGGTTGTCCGCAAATGCTGATGCAACTAAAGCATTACAACAAAATTATGCTTATATTTTATCTATTTTGTTAGAAATATCTCAAGATAACAATGAAAACGGCAATACTCAGTTTGATGCAATGAACATTTTGAAAACATTGAAAAAAAGGGAAACCGCTATATTAACTATAGTATGGGATGTTATATTACAACGAATAAATATAACTTCGAAAAGTCTCCAGAGTTCAACAGAAAATTTGTTTTCAATAGTGCCCTTATATAACTCCTTAACAGATTTCATACAGTATGTTCGAGAATACTTTGGTGATTATGAAAGCAAATCTATAGAACTTTTAAATAAGGATATTTAATATCAGAGTTAAAGAAAAAAAAGACACCAAAAAGTAGACACTTAGATGATACTGATTCTGAAGAAAAACAATTAGATCCAAGAGCGAAGTTTATGAGTGATATTCATTATGTTATTTGTGATAAATTTATAACTAAATTGAATAAACGAAAAATGGCCTATATTAAAGTAAAAGAAAAATTTGGATTTTTATTCAATAAAAATCCTGATAGAAAGGAAATTAACAACCAAATAAAAAATTTACAATCAATGTACACAAATGAACTAGATTTGGATCCCGATAATTTTGCAGATGAATGGTTTAAATTTCATAGTTTAATTTCTTCTCATCAAATATCAAGAAATCCCGCTGCCCAACTTAAATTCATTAAAGATATGCAAATATCACATGCATTTCAAAATGTAGAAACGTGTCTTCAAATTTTTCTTACAATGCCTGTTACAAATTGCTCCAGTGAACGATCATTTTCTTCATTAAAAACAATTAAAAATAGATTACGATCTACATTGAGTCAAGAAAATATAGACGCTCTGGGAATATTATCTATTGAAAGTGATATCACAGCAAACCTGAATTTTGATGATGTTATTGACCAGTTTTCTAAGCAAAAAGCAAGAAAATGTTTGTGAAAACTGAAATAAAATTAGATTTATAACATAAAACGTAAAAACATTTAATTTGATACCTATTATATAAGTGTAATATCTAATAAAAAATTCTAATTTAAAAAAAGTTTGTTTTTGTGTATGTTAATTATTTTACTCGAATAAATATTAAACATAATAATCATATTTTTAACAATATATATTTATTCTATGATCCAACTACTCATATACTTATTATATACAGCACTAATTTAAAAATATATTATGCGTACATTTTTATTTTAGCATTGAAGAAAATAGAGATGGACAATTTGGGGCCCAAAATTGTAAAATGTACTGGGCCCACGAATTGGTAAATCAGGCCCTGCTTATATACTCAGGTCTTGTTGGAATCAGTCGTATAGCACTATGCAAAAGTTGTTCCTGATTATAATTAATATCCTGAGGTGCTAAATGCGTATGTTTAATCGAGTGTTACTGTGGAATAGATTAGATTTATTACTTTTAATAGTTGACCTCGATAGTATTACTTTTTGCGCATATCCCATATTTGCTGTGCACTATTATTAAATGCATTCTTAATACTACTTTGAAATGTAGCCATATAGCTCACATTTGCGTATGTATTTGTGTTACTCTCTGGTCCTGTAATTATATTAATGATTCCTTTCAATATTGTTTCCCGATTTCTATTGTTTATGGATTATGTGGTCCCCTTATGTAGTGATAGTCGTAATGACCTACATTTATGTATGTCCGTAACAATATGTACGTAATGTAACAACCACTCGAACCCTACTGTATTTATACGTATACTTTATTTATACATATTTATTATTTGGCCTATGGTAATGAAATTGCCTAGTCTCATATGTGCCTATTCGTCCCCCTCTCCTTGAACAAACTTTAGATCCACCCCCGATCACGCGTGCACGTGATAATCAGCGAGTCCGCATAATAATAATATCGGTCTTGATCACGTTATCTACGTTACATTTCGATTTCTCCTCTATTTGGCGAGAGTAAGACGATCGGTCATTTGCCCCGCGTTCGAGAAACACGGCTCGCAGTGGTCGCACTTGCTGCCCGTCTAAGGTCACCGATTATGAGCTGTTTTTGTACGTGACGAACCTAACCTTCGGCCGCGCGCGCAGGGTACGCTGAATGCAACCGACCCGGAGCGCGTTACACGCTTATCGCGATTTATCGTGACCTCGCTCGGTCGTCTTTTGAAAAGTTTCTTTTCAAGTTGTCACCGAAACGTTACTCATGGCATCCGTGTCGGCCCGTCACAACGTTACCAGGAGCATTCCGTCCGTGCAGTTCACCATCATCAGAAAATTTACGTTGCCGAATTCAAGTGTCCGATCCCGTTGTTCAGTCTCCCCGTCGAATCTATCAGCATCAACTTCAGTTATTGCATCATTGAACGTTCTACGTCCGTATCTTCGGCACAAGTAGAGTATTGTTCACGAAATGCCGATCACCGAGACCGCGTCGATTTCCGACGTCTTGAGAGAACTCCAGGATTACAGCCCGACCGTGATTATTATTATTTTTATATTTTTTCTTTCGATTATTTCGTTTTGTATAAATATACACCAATTTTTAGACACTCCCGTTATCATATATTGTTCCGTACGCGTCGTCGTCAGCGCTGATATTTTGACTGATTCAAAAACTCGTGAGAAATATTATCGCAGTGTTATAATGGTTATAAAAAAACGGTTTACGGCAATAATGAGTGATATTGGTTAATTTTTATTTATTGATTCTTTTACGTTGACGCTGCTAACTTTTTACTAGAATCTCTTAAATTATTTTATGTACAGTGATCCTATAATTTCTGTGAACTATATTCTTTATTGTTTATAATTTATAGCTTTTATTATAATTTAGTTAAAATGTTTTCATTAAAAAGATAAAGATATTATAAAAAATAATAATCTGAACACTATAAGAAATATTAATATATATTTCTTCTTCTTTTTTTTCAGTTTAACGGTCCTTGAAGGACCTGACTAATGACCTTTATACCCTAATATATTATTATATATTTATTATATTTAAATATCAATATACAGGTATCGTTTGATTATAAAATATTCTATAGTGCAGCTAATCAAACCTCTTAAACACTTACAATTGCTTTATTATGTACAGGCAATACATAAATAATAATAGTAATGGTATGTACGTAGATTTTAAATTGTATTGTAACTGCTTTAGGTAATAGCTATTTGTCGTGAACACAAAATTTATCGAGAAAATCGTATACACAGAAGGCGTGCCCAGGATCAAAATGTAGGATAGGGCCAGTTATAAGTATTTTAACCTGCACAGTTTTTTTTTTTTTTTCGTAAAATTTTCATAAAATGTTTATAATAATTTAATAATTTTTATAATATTTGAAGATATTAAAAAATAAATAATAACGATGTAAAAAATATTAACAATAACTATTTGAAAACAGGGTAGGACCTACCAAGACTACCCTCTGGGGACGCCATTGCGTATGGATCTAAATAATCATAAACATCTAAAAAAACATTTATAATTGAATTTTATAGTCATCATTAGCCGTTAGTGTTTGAATAGAGGATGTAGAAAATCGAGACGAGTGGAGATTTAGGACAAAGGTGGCCGACCTCAAATAATTGAGAGAAAGGCTAAAAATCGAATGATGTACTATAAATGCTGTTTATTTTATTTGTGTACAATTTTAATCTTTAATTTTTAAAACATTAATACTTGTCATTATAAATAATTTATTTTTAAAAATAAAAGTGAATTGAAATAATAATATATCAAAACCTTCCCGCTTGACATCTTGACACGATCAGGTCACACAATTACCGCAATCTCATCCGGCACCACCTTTTGCCAAGGTGTCGCTTCACCTTCGATTATCAATCGGGAATTCCGATTCAAAAAAACTAGTTTTGAAAATGGCAATGTGTCTCGAGCACCTGTGAACTGTTTGGCCGGGATTTTTATTACACATTTTTTTTTTTTTTTATTAGTAATGCGATTATGACCAAAAGCATATTGTGTAAACGTTTTATCTATGACTTTCTTTTATTGTTTTAATATTCATAAATCATTATTTTGGTTATTTTCATAATAATTGTATTATTCAAATAATTGAATTCTGTGATAATCTGTTTAAAGATGTACGGCAGAACCGTACTTTTGTCGATAAGAGTGTTGTGTGAGAGTGAGTCGTTAAGTTGTCGATAAGAGCGAGTCGATGTGATTTCCGTTAAAAATTTAACTGATTGGAATAAAACGCTATTCTGTAGAAAACGTAATTCCTTAGATTTTTTAAAATTTTTATTTGAAGACTTACATATTGCGTTGGATTCAAATCATACAAGTTAATAATAAAATTATCTTCTATCTTATATCAACATAGAACTTGAATGCTTCGAATTTCATTATTATTTTGTGTTCAAATAAATACAATATAGTCGTATATTTTTTTTTATTAAATTGGTAGAAATGTCGCGGAATTTCTGCGGTTCTTATTTTGGTATTTAATCTATTTAAATGTAATATTAATTTAATTTTAATCAATTATAATTATTTATATTGATAGTAATCGCATTTCCAATCAACTTTTGCAATTTTTACTTTACAGATACCCGACGCCATTACGTCTGCTGTGTGTGCGGAAGCAGGGTTCCAGACGAGTGATCCTCGAATGTAAGATGAAATATAATTATGTAAATGGGAACCTTAGAATTTCTAGGTATTTGAATTGGCCTGATAAAACAATTAATAATCAAAATAATGCTTAACTAAAATGTTTTCAATTTTATCCATTTCGACGAAAGTATTTTTTTTTTAAATAATTTAAATTAATAACACGCTTGTATACAATTGAATAGTATTATCCTAGTTAATTCCGGTATTTTATAATTTTTAGCAATAACACTTATAGATCATGATTATTAATAATTTTTTTTGTAATATTACTTGTTACCGTTTTCAATTTTAAGTAAAGAATTATAGGATTAATAATTGATAATAAGTAAATAATACGATTAACAAATAGTAGTATTCCATAAATATTCATCTTAATTTATAAGATCATTTATCTTAATTTACTTCTTCTTTGCTGGACTTATTTTAGACTGACATATTTAACCCATTTTATCTTATTACCGACAATATTTTACTGTAATTACTTTTATTACCTTAAGCGGAATCCATGCACGTAACTAGATATTTACAAAAGAGGGGTGTTATTCAAAATTAACCAACAAAATTACACACAACAAAATAATAACTCTACGTATACTTTATTGTACAAGCATACAAACACAATAGTACATTACTCATGCATATCTATTGTCTTGCACTAATGTATGAGAAAGTAATTAAATATTTTATTAAAATTTCATGTTTTCATTTTGTCTTTTTTATATATTTTAAATCGAGCATGAAACGACACAAAACTACGGCTTTAATTTATGATGAACTTTTATCTTTATAAGACTTAAGTATAACATGTTTAAGGGGGGATGTTACTACACTTGTAATACGCCCCCCCCCGGTTACGCACCTACTGGAATCTATATTTGATAGTCATTTTCATATAATTCAAGTTGAAAGCTCTGCGGTCAAATTATGAAATGGGACATAAAGAAACAGTCCATTTTAGACAAGTTTTCAAAGCGCTACAATTTATATAACCGAATCCAAGTTTCCGTTTCACACGAAGTCTGTTTAGACGGTTTATAAAAATTAAAAAAATAAACTATTAAGTACATACTGTATAAGTAGATATATATATTTTTTGTTGTAAGGTTTAATATTTCGGAGTAAAATGACTATAATATCTTACACAAATTATGAATTTTATATCATATAATTAAAAAAAAATAACGCAACATTATTCGTTATCAAGTTATGAATTCAGAGATAAAGTTATGATATGAATTCAGATACAGCATTATGGAGAGGAAGATCGTTTAGGGATAGCTACCGTGAAAATTAATGTCTGTGTTTAAATCAGGGACCGAAACCTTGATGAATTATACGGTACCAGTTCCGATACGGATCCTAGAAAAAAAAAATAGGTTCCGGTTTTGATGCCGATTCTAAAATAACTAAAATTTGGGTTTCGGTTTATTTTCGGTTTTAAAAAAAAACTGAAACTTCGGTTTCGGTTATTAAAATAACAAAAATTTAGGTTTCGGTTTATTTTCGGTTCTTAAAAATAAAACATTAGTTTCAAGTTTAGTATTATACTAATTTGAGAAAAATTTGGTTCTGTTTCGATTCTTTTAAAAATATAATTAGTATTAATTAGCGTCGATTACGGTGGTTAATACCAATTTTCAACCAGATAGCCTACCATCACTTAAGTGACTTTGGAATAATTAAGTAAAAGCGTACTCATCACCGACTACCCTGTTTCAAATATCGCTTCATTTTTTTTATTGTTTAAACATTGATTTGTGAACTATCATTTGTTATATTATTATTCAGTATTTAAATTTTTAAATATACAATTCTATATATTTTTAAGGTTTGAGATTTGCGGTCGGTGGTTCAGTAGATAGTACATAGAAAGGTCTGTTCCACTTTCATAGGATTTTAATCTGATCACTTTACCTCATAGATATACAATAATTATAAATATATGCTTTACCTTATAATAATCTGTGAATATTAAAATATTTTAGAATAATTAATAATAATGTTAACAGTTAAAAATCTTTTAATATTTATTGATGATTTATCCATAAAATAAATATATTAAAAATAATAATATTTAAGATAAGAAAACTTTTGAAATGTAAAGATTTTATGTAATACGTTGACGTTGATAAATTATTTTAATATTGGTACTTTTAAAAATAACCGTAAATATTTGATGAAATCTACCTAATCATAAATTATACATCATAATGAATAACAATAAAACGCGTTTAGTGTTTACCGCTCAGGCGTGCTGTACATCAGTTAACGATAGTCACAATCATAACATACTCCAAAAAAGTTATTTATAAACATAATTTTAGAATTTCTCGTTATTATGGGAACTAGAAAACCCATAGATATAAATATGAAGTAAATAATGACTATTTTGTTGCAATTCTTATTACAGTATTACATTATTATCAGTTGTTACATAGAATTATTGTATACTTTTATAGTTTAATGACACGTCTAAACTCTATAAGTACTTGCATGATTATTTTTAAATATTATTAATCCCGATAATAATAGATCTACGTATTTGTTTAGTTCTTATTACTTGTTAATGACAGATTTATCGGTTCTGGTGAGGTTCCGATTTTTAAATAAATACAAATAGAGGTTCCAGTGGGGTTCTGGTTTTAAATTTATTTAAATTAGGGTTTCGGTGAGGTTCCGGTTCCCATTATTCAAAGGGTTCCGGTTCCAAAACCTGTTATTTTAAGTACGGTTCCAATTCCTGGTTAAAATCTACTTAAACAACTTGTTTCAGAATACGATTGGTAGCGATAGCTTCACAGAAATTTATTTCCGACTTAGCCAATGATGTATTTAAACATTATAGAAAGCGTTTATCTTCCAAGCAAAGTAAATCCGGTACTTCTTCCAAAGACCGTAAAATTACATTATCAATGGAAGATTTAACTCCAGTGCTCAAAGACTATGGAATAGTTGTTCGCAATCCTCCATATTTTCTTTAAATTATTAAAATTATTTTACTTAATGAACACTTAACTGATCACAAATGTTTTTCTTGATACAATATTATTCGTTTCTTTATATACTTGTTTATTTTAATTTCTTTAAATGATTTATTAAAAAAAAAAAAAAAAATGTAAAACATGTAAAACATGTAGAACAAATATTTAATGTATTATTCATTAACAATAAAAGTAATTTGTCAACGAAATTTATATTAATATTTATATTTATTTTGTTCTTGTCTTATTTTTATTGTATATTTTATAAAGTGTAATCTACATAAAGAACTTTATTCACACTAGTGATTGTTGCAATATTTTATTAAATAATTCAAGTTTATTCAAAAATTTCTGGCAGAATAAAATTAATTATCTGGAAAAATATTAATTCCACAAAAACTGATAATTTATTTAATATAAACTATGTATTTAATAGAAAATCGACTTATTTTTTTTGAAAAAATATTTCAATGTTTTAATAAATGATAGTAGATATGTAATTATATAGTATTTATAGTAAATATAATATACCTGTATAATGACTATTTATAAAAATTAAATACGAATACTTAGAAAAGTTGATTTTAAAATGATTTACCTTAATTAATATTATTTGATTGTGTAAGTATTAATAAATTAATTATTTATTCGAAATTGGTTGTCCTTTACAAATATAATAACACTTCAGGATAAACATTTATTTATTTATTTTTTTATATTTTAATAAAAATGAAATTAAACGTATGAATTCTAACTCTAATGATCAACTTTAGTTTTTATAGTTAATTAAAGTCCTTATAATCTGTTAAAATCTAAATAATCGTATTTATTACTTAACAGATATTTAATGAATTATTGTATGGATTATGATTAAATAAAATAGAAAAATGCTGTGCACAATTGTTAAATCTGTTAAATTCAGAATTTTTAATTATAATACGTGTATACTTTTATTTTACTATATTATATCATTATAAAATTAAATGGCTAATAATAATTTTGGGCCATAGGAAAAATCGTTTATGAAGAATTATAATAAAGAATCATAAGAATTATAATAAAAATAAATTATGTATCCGATTAAGAGTAAGGTTCACTAAGATATAAATTATAAACAGTAATTATACACAACAGTACTTGACTATTAATTTTTAATTAGAAACCCAGTCGTACTTTATATAATACTCCATTCTAGGCATTTTTATATATTTTTATATATAAACTATAAAAACAAAAACGAAAATAGAATTCATCTCTTTTATTTTTGTAGTGAAAATTAAAACATAGGTCTCTGCTATTTTTACACCTACAAATACTTCAGCAGAAGTTTTAATGCCATTTATTGCTACAACTTTTATAGTTACACGACCAAGCAATATTAATTAAGGAAAATTATTTTAAAATTAACTTTTCTAAGTATTCGTATTTAATTTTTCTTATTTGTATATTAAAATATCAGTCTTCAAATTGTATGAATGTGAATCACTCAATAATTAAGCACAGAGACAAATTATGCTTTTCACTGAACTATGTTATAATTTTTATTTTATTTTCTGATGTTAGTTCATAACCAGTAAAGGTCCAACAACAGTTTGTTGACGTTTGACAAGGTCTAGCCGTTTAGGATATATCCTTAACTAACACTATGTGTAACACAATATCTTTATTTACAGGCATCCCATTTATTTATTTTTCTGTATATAATGTATTATAATATTAATGAATGTATAAAACTATATTGAATCAGTACAAATAACGAAAATACGTAATAGCCATAAATTAAGAATTTCTACCACGATGAAGGGTGTTTAATTGGTTAGACGACGAGTGTTTTGCAATATAAATTATTTCGAAGTATTTAATAATATTATTATTTGATTATTGTTGGAAAATCAATATTCATCTGTACTCGAGTGTTTCGAACAGTTGAGTATTAATATTTTACAATATCTATTGAATAATAATAATAATTAATGTAATAATAATAATAATAATAATAATATTAATAATAATAATTATAATAATAATAATAATAATAATAATAAATATATTATAAATAAATAATTATAAGATTTTTTTGACTAATGAACAGTATTATATAAAATAAATATGATAATTTTTGAATAAATATAAATTATATATAATAAGAACGAAACATTGAAATTAGTATTTTTTTTCCCATACAGAAATATATTTTAATCCCACGGACGGATAACTGTTTTCGACTTGTTTTTTTTTTATTTATTTATTTTTTGTTTTTTAATTTTGCTAATGATAGTAGACCCCCTGTCACCATACATTTATTAGATCCGATGTATTTTTGCCAATTTCATTCGTTTTTACAGATTTAGGCTTCGATTTTGAATGGTGATCCGGGTATATGATCATCGCCCCACTTGACCAACAAGATGTACTCGCCACGTTCCCGGACGATGTAGCTTACTTGGTAATTGTTCTGTTTCATGTGCTTGATGAATATCTCCTCACACGGTCCCTTCGGTCCATAAATGCCAACGAACAATATGTTATTACCTGCAACACACGTCAATACATAGTGTTTTAGTAAATTCTATATATTATGTCATTCAGTGGCGTATACATAACTTTTTTAGGGGGGGGGAAGGATCATTTGCAAATAAATCATTATTTTTATTTTACTATTATTTTTTTTTGCGTTTCTAATGCTCACACACTAAAAAAATATTTTATAACATTTAAAAAAAGGCATAGGGAGATTTAACCCCCACATCCCCCCTTCTATACGCCACTGACTTCATCGGTAGTGCCAAAATAGTGTATGATTATAATAAACTATAATATTCGATGTAACTGTAGAATTTCGACCGGCAAAAATCCGCTCTGATAACTCAAAATACGTTAAAATGTAGCGTTTTTAAGAATGGAAATGTTAAATATTTAATCTAAATGGATCGTGAGGAGAATACAATTTCAAAATCACATAAATTGTGGTATTTAAATGCTCGTGTTATCAACAGGAATGACAATATACAGTTAATAGAATATTAAAGAAATGTTCAAATAATCGTATTCGATAATGTTAAGTATGAAAATGTTATCAGGACATGCAGAAACAAGCACAAGAAAATATTTCTGGAAGGTGTCTTTGAAAATATCTCATGAAAAACTTTAAAATAATTATTAAGTTTGTAAGACATGTAGTTAATTTTTTTATAACATTTTCTAATATTTCGAGGTGGGAGATTGAACTACGATCACGCCTAAAGAAGGGTTAGAGTAATAATTTCGAGAAAAATTGGTTTAGATGTTTTTATGGTTTTAAGCGTTTGAACGAACCCAAACAGTAGAAAATCTACTTGGTCTTGTACACTCTACATTATGGTGTCATATAACGAATTACCGGCATCGCCTGCACTTATGCTGAACAAATTTTGCTTTCCTATATACGCTTTTTTGAGGCCCATTCCCTTGCTGGTGACAAGAGAAGCGTTCGACTTGAAATGCGGTAAAACAACACCAGATCCGCCCTTATGGCTCTTTGACACTTTGTGTACAGTTTCCACGACCACCGAGCTCGTTTCTTGTGGACCGCGTTCGGCCAAATCCTCACCTGCAAAAATAATTGAAACGTAGTCACAAACATTATTAATACAAAAAGTAAAATAGAGTGCTATTATTGCAACTAGCAGTGAATGCTTTTCGACATCACCAAATAATATGTTTTTGAATTAATCGTTTTCCGGACCATGTGGGACGATTTATTGTTCACAAACTTCCAATCCATACACTGTTTTCTATTAAAAGGTCCCAATAACTTCTACAATTGATAATATTATTCATAATTTTTTTGCCAACCTCTAATGAACGTAAATATTGTTGTTTTAATATACAAGCCGCATACACGTCCGTTACTGTATTTTATCATTTAAGTCACTCTCAAGTGAAATTAATAATCCGTTATCACTTTTTTCAACACTATGCTTTGGTTTTATGGTTTTTTTCATTGTTTTTCTACTTCGATCAAGTTCACTTACCAGTACATACAACTTTGAACGGCGAACCGACGATATGATAACTGTTGTATTTCAAACTGATGTAATATTCGCCTGGCACCAGTGGCGTGTACCTGACCTTATAGCCTTCTTCTACTTCGGTACAATCCATGGAGACCTTACTGGGACCGTCGATAGTCACTGCCAACGTACCCGCACCTGCATTGCACGTATCCACAATGAAGTCTGTCTTGTGTCCTAGAATATTATACACAGCGTTTTAGTTGTAATTCTATTATTCATATTATATGTTATAATTTAAGGGTTCGGGACTTATTGCACACAAATTGTAGAAAATATGCACCTAAAATAACTATTTATATTAACTTATTATATTACTGTGTATGTTCGATTTCCTTTTCTTCATCTTATCCTACAATGAAAAAATTGAACTAAATACATATTTTCTTTTTAAATACTTTAAACGATTTACGATAACCGACAGTATACATAGGAACCAGTGGCGTACAAGTAAACGTAGGGGGAGAGGGTTAAGGGGTTGTAACCCCCCCCCACGAAATTTTCTCCGATGTATAGGTTAAAATTTACAAATTTTACAAGTTTGAAATATGAAGAGCTAATATTGAATTCCTAGTATCATTAATTATGGAATAATCTATTCTATTATCAATGCTATTATTTAAGTCAAAATATATTAAGGATTTGCAAAATTTTGTTAATTGTAAATTGTGTTACGTTTTTACCTTGACCTCTCCCCACCAGAAAAAAAATCCTGTGTGTGCTATTGACAGGAACAATTAGGTATTTCACTAGTTGTCAAATCCAGTTTATAATGTTATTATCTCATCTTTATTCAAAAACTGAATTGTACGGAGAAACAATTAAGTATTTGCCTTGTTGTCCTGTCCTGACTCGTGCTATAATTAGGTATATTGATCGATGCATGAAAGTAAAAAAAATAATGTTAATCTTTAAAATAAATTTATTTAAAATCAAACGAAAACTGTGTAATGTTTTAAATAATAATTAAATTGCCAATTTTTTTCAAATATACGGTTTTCTCGGAAAACGGCGAAATATGCAAAAATATGCTATTAAGTATTTTGTATTTCAATCCGTTATGACTTAAGACAAATTTATATCTTACTATTCTACAGTCATTATTAAACCATATGCAAATGCCACAAGTCCCGAACTCTAGTTCAAGCAAAATCCTGAGTTAATATTTTTACTTATGATAGATTAGGTATATTTGAAGAGTTGAAGAGTTCAGAAAAGAAGAACTTCTATATATATATATGTGTGTATGTGTGTGTATGGAAGTATCTTATTCATTTGTAGTAAATAAACAGTTATTAAAACTAGGGCTTGAAATCGATTTCAAATATCGATAGAAATCGTTAAAAATCTTTTAGAAAATCAAAATCAATATCAAAATCGTTAATGGTTGGTAATAATTTTTAAAATTTATATTGAAATTGAAAAAATGTAAAATCGATATTTTATATCAACATCAAAATAATTTTAATAGTTTAAACCGATTTTAAATTAAATTAATTTAAAATTCAACAGCCAACTGATCTATTTATATTGTCAATTCGTAGATACTGCCATATTTGGTAATAATATTGATTATACATAATAATAAATAAATAGTACCTATTTTGTTTTCTTAGAATATTTACGATAAGGAATCAGCGTTCGATGAGCGATTATTTATTTTTATACATACGATTTATTCCGTATAATATACTATATATAGACATTTTGTAGTGTATGATTATGGATATTAATTTATAATACTCCATTGGCTGTCACCCATGAGTTATACTTTTAATCAATAATATACAATCAAATAATCTGAAATAGTTTTATTTTGTACTTTAGCAGTTTTGCTTGGCGTCGTCATATTTGTTCCATATATAATTTAAAACATTGTTCTCATATTTAGTTAAATTATGTCTGAGTCTATGAATAAAAAACTTTATTTTACATTTTAATCATTTCACATAGATGTATCCCTAGTTTACTTAATTTTAGCTTTACTTTCATATTATGTTTTTTTCATTTTTGAGACACTTTAATAATAATTGTAGTTTGTACGAAATGTTTTATAACATAAGTAATAAAAAAATGGTTTTAATTACATACTACCTACAACAGTAGCTTATCGTTACAACCTACAATACTATTATGCTAATGATGTACTAAAATTTGAGAAATTATTATAAGTGATGGATAACATTTTGTTGTGAACCCAAAATCGAAAAAAAATAAATACCGATTTCTGAAACCGAAATTGAAAAAAATGAATATCGATGTTTCAAATCAAAAACGAAATTGCAAAAAATAGTTATCAATATTTGAAACCAAAATCGAAATTAAAAAAACTAATATCAATAATCAAAATTGAAATTAAAATCGAAATTTTTTATTTCAATTTCAAGCTCTGATTAAAACTACAATAGCAGTTGCTATTCCAATCCTGTTGGCTCTATCAATGTGTTTTATAAGAAAAAACGAGTAGATATTCTTTAAATAGTAACCGACTATACTCTCATGTTTGCGGCTCGATTAACAATTTTTTTTTAAATGCTCAATAAATTTCTCGTAAAATAAGTTCCTGATAAAATATCTACGGGAATAGTTTAATAGAGCGTTACAGAATAATTATGAGAACGAAAAAGTGGTATATAAAAATATTTTATCACTTATTAAATATGTCGATCGTGAATTTATGGCTATTATACAAAAAAGTTACCGGCGACACAATGCAATTGGCCAAATTTAGAGAAAATTTGGCTGTAATTCTTATGTAAAACTGAAACCAAAAATCGAGTAGAGGCATACTTTCAAATTCATTTGAAGTGTAAGATATAAAAAAAAAAAACGAACTCAAACACCATATGCACCATTTAATGAAGTAAGAAGAGATTGCATAGGTCATTGGCCAAACTTTGAACAGCAAAGGCGGGTATGCAAAATGCCAAACTGCAAATTTCAGTCGTTCACTAAGTGTACAAAATGTTCAGTATATCTATGTTACAATAACGATCGAAATTGTTTTGTAAATTTTCATTGTAGTTAATTATTTCTTATTTTTTTTGAATTCCATTGTTACAAATTACAAAATAATAAAATAAATGTCATTATTATTATAATTATATTGTAGATGTGTTATATATAATGTTTACTGCAGATACCTATTTCCATAAGAAATTCAGTCAATCATGTTACAATGAGATATCGTAACTGTATACAAGTTAGTTACAATAATTATTCATTGAAATGATATAACATAATTTTTTAAGTACAAAAAAAATGACATGCAGTGTAGGGTTAATATAAATAAAGTGTAAACAGTGGTCCATGATATTTACTATAGATTTAATAATAATTTTAAAACAACCAGTAAAATAAAATATCATTTAACTTAAACTTCTTCATTTGTGTATCTAAAAAAAGTTTTTGATCTAAAAAAATTCGATATACCTATGTATGCAATGTGTATCTATCTAATTCGAACAAATATTTATGCAAAGCACTGTGCTAAAATGTATTAAAATATTTATTTATTTCGGTCAAAATGTACAGTAATTCGTTTGTTTAACCGAGGATTTTTCATCGTCAGTGCGAGTATTTTAAAATGTCGTGACACAATTTACCTGTTTTAACGTCTCCCAAACCACTACCGGTGGCATGCACGGCAGCCGGATCGGCGTCTCCTTTGCCCACCTTAAGACGATAAGGTGATCCTGGAATATGGACCCCATTGAACTTGACATGAATATTGTGCACGCCATTATCACGAGGCATGAAACGAACCGAGTACATATCTTGATCAATGGACTGAATGAAACAGTCGTCTTCCGTACCGGACGGAGACACCACCTGAACAAAAACCATTTACAATATTATAATCAAGGTTCAGATTTTATAGTATTTATTAATTGTTAAAGAATAAAGACAAAAATAGCCAAGTAAGATATAAAATTGTTTTATGCATCAGGGACTCCAAAGAATAAAATTTATTTTGCTAATTTTTGCGTATTTGAAGTATTTTAGATTTTTAGTACTTTTTCTGAAGTTTTAGTTTTAATTTTTGTTGATATACATAATAATACAGATAATGATTTATTTTGTATTTTTCATAAATATTGTATATATTGAATGGAAAATAGATTTTTAAGTAAGATAAATAAGATTTTTTTTGTAGATATAATAAGAAAAATGTTCACATTTTTGTTTTTGTCACAAGTTTTTTAAATTATTAACAGGAAAAGGTAATTTTAGTTTCTATCATAAATGTATTAATTCATAAAATTATTTTATAAATATTATTTCAAAAAATAAATTAAACTATCAGTATGAGATAATAAATTGAATCACATTTTGATTTACATTTTCTTTTTTCTTCTTCTATTTTTAATATTTTTAGGTCATATTTTAAGGTTAGTTAATTAACATTAGTATTTAATTGAAATCCCCACGCACGAAATACATTCGATCCTATGAAAATTTCGTATGGCAAACAAATATGTTACTCAGGTGTTTATTTACTTCTTAACTTCACATACAATAGTCTAGTATTATTGCTATGATAAACGGTGAATAGAGTACAGGCGCGTTGTGCAACCAGGGCCATTCCGAAGATGAAAACCAAGGGGGGGGGGAAATATATGAAATATGTCGACTATAATTTTTTTACTCAATGTATGTTGTATAATTAACTATATGTAGTCATTTTTTTACTTTTTAACATGTATATATGTGTCAGTGTCGCACGTTCTTAAAGTTACATAAATTTTATTCGTGTATACATTGTATTACAAAATATGTAATATTTGTTTCCCGTAAGTAAAATTAGGTCCTTCTAGGTAATAATAAAACAAGTCCGACTGCCGACTGGTGTTTTCATTTGGGGGGATGAGACGCCCTCCCAAGACCCCCCTTTGGGACGGCCCTGATATTATAGTGCATATTTCAACACATATCAATGGTATAAAATCTAAACCCTGGTTTCAATTAATTATGTATATTACTGACGAGAGAAACAAATTATCATATCACTCAAAAAATGGTAAAAACCTAGATTTTTTTTTACGATTAAGGGATTGTTCCAGTATGGGTTGTCTGAAAATGTATTAAAATGTATATTAAATATGGGCTTTGATTTTTAACATTTTTTTGAATTTTTAACCTCGGAATCAATTTTAAATGTGAAAATCAAAAATTTTTTGCACGTTATATTCGTTCAACGTTACCTTTGCATCTAGTTGACCAACAGCACCATTTTTACGGACCATGAACTGCGCCGGGTAGTCAGCCTGAACTCCGGACGTCGGGAATTGTGCTATTTCAAGCTTGTGCGCGTCGCCCATAGCTGGTGACATGAAAAGTTTGTACGGTGAATCGGGTATGTGCTGGTCGTTGAACTTGATACCAATGCGGTATTCTCCTGTAAAAGAAGAGTTTATTATGAAAACTATATTTCTTTATAGACAAGAGTGATGAGTACACGCATAACATAGTTGTGAATGTGAAATGTGAAATATCATTTTAAAATAATGACGTTTATTAGTACACAAGAAACTATTTATAACATCAAGATGTCGATTTAACCGACCGACCAGTTAGTAAAACCGGTGTATGATGGCCGCCCATAACTTTTTAAATTTTTTTTTTCATCCAACATGTCACAAAACACGTACATAATATGTATATATTATATATATTATATAATTATATTTGGTCTACTGGGACCTTCGATATTGTCGAAACCGGCGTCTAGAAGACAACGGTTTCAAGCCAATGTTCAAGTGCCGTAGTGTAAGCGTATGTGGAGGTACCACAACAAAATATGAAGATGAATTCAAAAACGTTATTGTGACCAGCAGGGTCGGACGTATCTAAACTGCATCCCTGAGCTAATGAAGAACTAACGCTCCTACATTGTGGAACGTGAACGGGATAAGAGCTCATCTTTGACCAATTGTTTACCAATTTCTCACGCCTGCGTATGTAATATTGTACTACGGACATATTTAAAACTCATTCCGTGGACGGGTATCGGGTGTTTGGTTTCGATAATTAGTGGAACGTCGACAAACCTGGTTCGTTCACCACGTAGCTGACGTAACACGAGCCGTCTTTGCGGTCTTTAAAATCGATCTCCGCCTTACTGGGCCCTTCCACTGATATGGCCAATGAGCCCGGACCGGCCTCCCTTGTCCATACGTTGAACTCGCACGGTTGCCCTTGTTCCCCGCGTTCGAGACCGGAACCACCAGCGTGCACGCGATGAGCGCCTCCATCGTTCAACGGACCGACGGTGAACTGGAACGGCGAACCTGCAACAGGGCGACGTGTAGTTTAGTCACAGACTTTTATAATAAACTAGATAAGTAACTTTAGAGATTTGTTGAAGCTCGGCTAATGAGTTGCCGTATTTAAGATTATGAGTTGCCACATTTAAGATTATTCTACATGTTATTATAGACTACCTATATTATGTTCTATAACGATTTATCTATTAAATGTAATGTTTATTATTTAATTACTTAATTTATTTAATTAAATTTAAAATGTCTGTTTCCTGTGCTGCGTATGGGTTCACAAACAGATACCAAGTGAGGCAAAAAAACAATTCTTTCGGTAAGTTATGTTATAATACATTTACCAATTAGTAAGAATGAAGCTTTTAAATAACAAATGTCTTAAAAATCGTTCAAAATCATTAAAAATATAAACGTTGGTCACGTTCACACTCTATTTGATAAAAATGTATTCTATATTTATTTTAATTTCATAATTGTGTGATCATAGATTTCCCATTCCTAACAATGAGTTCATGGAAAAATGGATAATTACATAGCAAAAACATTTTAAAGCAAGTCAATAAAGTCAGATATGTAGTGGTTATTTTACAGAACAAGATTTTCAATATTTATGTTCTTTATTTACTATATAAGTTTATTATATCATATTTATACATTGTAATTACAATTTTAAAGTATATAAATAAATTATTTAGTAAAATAATATAAATTCTTATAGGAATTGTGAAATTAATATTTAGCATTACAAATATGGGAGTTACTTATTTAGTATAGTAAAGAAATCTGTGAATTTAGTGTTCAGCGTCAACCACGGAAGTCGTTTCCGAAGCCCCGGACCCGAACGCGCCACCGGGCAGGGAGGGTGACGGGGCACGAGACGACGGCTGTAGGGATAATACTTACCGGGTATGTGGACCTCATTGTATCGTACCGATACGGTGTGCACGCCCAATTCCTTGGGCACGAAGTGCACTGCGTAGAGACCGTCTTCGATTTCGTTGATCTCGGCATCCTCCGTGATACTGCCGGGCGAAGTCACCGTCGCCGACAGGTCGTACGGTAGCACGCCTGCAAGAGGAGAGCGATAATAAACGTTGGTTACAGTTGAAAAAAAGTGTCTAGGGTCTAGACTGCATCTAATGTATACGCGATGTATTCATAGTCTTTGAGGTTAAAATATAGATAAATGTTCGGACACTGTAAATTAACCTAATTTGAATACGTTTGCCAAGTTTGGCCGACAATATCGGTTGTTGCTCCCAAAGTGGTTATTACTAGCTAATTTTTATTTTCCCCTTACTCCTTTATTTAAATGATAGTTATTAGTTATACATTAACACGTTTGAACATTCGTGTTTATTTGTGAGCATCATGGGAAATATTTTAAATCAACACAAAAAACATGTTTGCGTTAGTTTTTGAATACTCGTTTACATATACTTTACTTTTAAAGTAAGGATAATTTAATAACAAAATCTTTAGTCGCTAGACTAAAGATCACACAGTTGTCTTTAACCATTTATTTCCCATGTCATTATAAATTTGTGTTCCCTTCGAATGATTATAGAGATTATATTATAGGTATATTATATATGTAATATATCTTATAAATATTATCCATCTATATTTATATGCATGTATAAATGTATAATATACACGCATATACGCGTATAACATTATGGCGCAGAATATTTCTGATCATAAACAACAGCTGTTCGTAAAACAGTACAATTAGTCATACCTGGCATCTTGAACGTGAGCTTGCAGTTACTGCCAACCTCAGTTAGAGGAACGGCTTCACGTTTACGCTCAATTTTTTCGCGCTGACAGTTGCTTCCTTCGCCTGTCACTTTAACGGTAAAAGGGGACCCGTCGACGTGGTGGTCGGCGAACTTTAGGTTCACTATGTAGTATCCTGGTTCCGTGGGCCTGTACGAGATGTTCAACGTGCCATCTTCGTTGTCCTTGCATTGAATCTCTGCTTTACTCGGACCCTCGATGGAAAGTGATAGTCCACCGTATCCTGAATAAAATAATAAAATTAAAAATTAAACACACACACATATCGACCACATAAGTAATGTTTTGAAATTTTCTTTTACACACGATATAATGAAAATATAACGATCTGTCAAATACGGCGATAATTGAAAAGAGTAAATAATCAACTTTCGAAAATTCACAACGTTTGGCATGAAAAAAAAATACTATAATTTGATATTTTAATATTTCAGACAAATGTGAGCTGTATTATAGATGAAAGTGTTATTTCGATGTATGATTCGATTATAATTTGTGTTTATATTCGTATCGGAATCACGCTAAAGATTCTCAATTTGAAAAAAGTTCCACAAAACGACATTTTTTTATGTTATGGTTTTCCACAATATTGCTCGTGGTTTCACGTGTGATACACGTAAATCTACATTTTATTCCATAGCACTTTGGTTATTATCGTGAATTTTCCAATCGCGATTTTCGCTTACCAGCACTTCTTGTGTCCACTGTAAACAGATTTTCGACTTGCGTTTTGCCCTCTTTCAACCCGTTTCCAGTGACTTTGACCTTTTTCGCGTCACCGACTTCTCTTTCACCGACGGTTATTTTAAACGGCGAGTTGACGATGTGCTGTCCCATCTTCTTCACGGACACCACGTGTTGGCCGATTTCTCTGGGCGTGAACGATATACCTAGAACAGACGATCGAACGGTCGTGTGAAATCCGAACGATGACGCGTACGTATTAAATGTAAAGGTAGGTAGTTACCCAGGTTGCCGTTGGGCAGACGTTTCAAGAAGCAGGGTTCTTCCAAACCACTTGGCGCTTGAATCGAAGCGTTCAACAGTCGAAAGTCTTTATCGAGTACCTTGCCAGGCAGTGACACCTCACTGCATGAGCCTACGGATATTTGATTTCTCTTCCTGCCCTCGCCTATGCATAGACATAATTGGATAAATCATTGTAGATTAATTAATTTTAATTTTTTTTTTTTTTTACAGTAAATAAGTTGAGTAGGTACCGTTAAAATTAAATTGTTAATATATTGAACTGCTCAAGTATGTGTAATTATTACGAAAGTAAGTCATTATGACTTATGAACGTTTTCAATTTCGTATACATTTTACATTTATCATAATCAGAGATCGTAAATGCTTGCATTAAAAAATGTATAAATAAACATGCAATAATGCACTAACATTTTATAAAATATGCATTCAAATATACACTAAAAATTTAAAATATGCATTAAAAATCTTAAACTACACACGAAAAAAATGCTTCTAGAAGCATTTTTTAAAATAATAAAATGTGACTAATGTAATGAAGTGAAGGGGCAAAATCAATCCAAGATAATTGAGCAAGGGGAGGAAGAATTGTATTGGAAGTAGCTTTGGCAAGCCCCTCAGCTATTTCATTACCGTGTATGCCAATATGGGAACATAATCTCTTATAAGTATTTTATACAAAACTGATCGAGCACGACAAATGATCATATAATTTTATAAATTTTAAAATTGAAACCTCAAAATTCAAAGTCCAAATTAATTCGATTTGACACTATCACTACAAAAACCAAAAATCGATTATTACCTGTGACTTTTGAATTATACGGGCTTCCTTTGATGTGCTTGTCGCCGAACTTCACCGAAATCCTGTACTCGCCGGGTGCTGTCGGTAAATATGTAACCGAAATGGTACCGTCCTTGTTGTCGTGGCAGCTGATCTCCGCCTTGCTGGGTCCTTCCACGGCTAACGAAAGGCCACCTTTGCGTGAACGCATCAACAAGTTAAGTAAGGTTATGTTTGATCAACGAAACAATAATAATAATAATTTTTGGAGAAATCACAGTCAGTGAACTCGATCGATTCCGATCACTTGCAAAAAGCTACCGAGTGGCAGACCAGAGAAAAGATAGAAAGATATCGTAAAAAATAGATGATATGAAGCACATTGATAATGAGCATGTGGTCGATAAAAGTATAATATAAGAGTGAAACGTAAAACATTCTCGACGAGGTAAAATAATAACAAAAACAAAAAACACGTGTAGCCGTAATCATCGTGCATGGTGAACATAATCGTATGAACAAGGTGTGCTGATAAACTCGATTATTGATTTAAAGGAGTTAATTGGATTAATACCACTTTAGGAAGATAGCGCAAAAAAAGTTTTCAAAACGGACCGAGTATTGGGACAGAAAGGAAGTGACAAGAGTCAGCGACGATGAGTAGAGAGAAATTCGTTTGGGAAGTCACGGTCTTACAAAGACCAAATCTCATTTGAATAATTATAATAACAACAATAGTATAGGTATAGTTCATTACACGTACCGGCTCCGGCTCCTTTGGTGTATATAGTGAAGTCGGACGGTTCTCCGCTGACGCCGTGCGTGAGGCCAGGACCGTAAGCCGTGATGTGTCCGCTAGTGATCGAGTCGACATGGAATTTAAACGGTGAACCTAATATCAGTCACAATGGATGCTTTAATACCTTTAGCAAACGTTAACATACTCGGCGGACACGATAAATCAGTGCTGCCGCATGCGAACATATTGAAAACTGATTAACTTTATTTTCATTATTTTATTTTATTTCGTCACGAATAGAAAAAATGTAATCGTATAAAAATGTAAAAATGCAAAATATTTTAAATTATATTCCACTTTTAGTATTTTTATTATTTTTTTTTTAATTTAATTTATTATCTGAAAATGTAAGCGGCTTATTCTGAGTGAATAAATCATAAATATTTAAAAACGTTAAACAACAATTTAAATTATTGAAATGTTTTAATATTTTTGTTGCTTTTGCATCAACCACTTTAAAAATTAATGGAAAATGATACTAATATTTAAAAAAAAAAAAATTGTATACAATGATTTTAGATATTTGATGTTTATTTTTGTTAAATTTTTTAATCATATAATAAACAATGGATATTCTAGATAATTTAAAGAGTTTTTGCAGATCAGTCGATTTTCATCTATATTTGATATTATTATATAATGTAATTTGTTAAATTTGTACAGATCTCAAAGTTAAAATGCTTATATATATACTTGGATATTCATATGTCTAATTAATTTAATATGTCAAGTTGAAAAAATTTGAAAGGACACAAAACATGTAAAAAAATATAAATACATTTTTTGGCTGACGTGTACGTTTTTAGTTTTGATCTGGTTTTAACTCGAGTTAACATGGAGTGAATCCTTAAGATTTATTATTTTAGGGACATAGTAGTACATTAGTGGCGCTTTTGTAAGTATAACACCACGAATAAAAACTTAATGAGCGAATAAAACGCTTGACTTAACGATTTAAAGGTAAATTCAGCAAAATGTATTACGCTTTCATATTAAGTAAGCAAAACCGTTACAATGTTTGATGTTCATTGCAATAAAAAAAAAAAACTATTTTACCTATTTCATATAATAAGTGTCAGTATTTAAAATGAAAATAATACACAGTGGTATAAATAAAGACGGAATTTATATCAAGTAAATAGAAAAAGAAATAAATAATATGTTTTATTAAATATATAAAAATTTATTAGGTTGTTTTAGAATATCACATAACACAATTTCCCGGGTTTAGTTTTGACATTTAAAAAAAAAAAAGAAATTTCAATATAGAATAAACTGGATTTATTATGTATTTTAAACCCTGTATTTTTAAGTAATTTGTTGTATACTCTAAGAGCATATACACACACACACACACATATATATATATATTTATTCCTTCAAAAATATTAAAATACAATTATTAAATCAGTGAAATATTAAATTAATTGAATATTATAAATTAATAACTACAACAACGTTTGTTTTTAATGATTTAAGTTAAATTGTGTACAGTAATAATATCAGCTACATCGTACATTATACATACATAAATGAAAAATATTCACATCTGAGTGCAGTAAATACATTCAAAATAATACTCAGATGAAAAATATTTATTTCTATAAGAAATATATTCCTAAAAAAAATACCAACCGATGTAAAATCCTGGCTCTTTATTAACGATATATTTTCAACCAAATTTACGGACATTTTTATTTTTATTTTTACTTAAAAACATTTAACATCGAGAATTGGCAACAAACACTTTTTTCCTGAATGATATTGAAATTAAATTGGGGAGGGGTGATACACATAATAATTATTCTGATTGGATGGAGAATATAAAGTTTATTTTCGTTCGCAACGAGTGACCGCTATAATAAAACTAATGACGCAAAATGTTGAAAATGAAAGTTATCGTTCTGCCGTGTGCGAAAACCGAAATTATTTTATTTTAATTTAAGTTTTATATTTATTTAATAGACAATGTCTCATTGGCGTGTTTTAGTTAAAGAAAAAAAACTTTATATACATATACAAACACAAACATATGTATGGTGTAGTAGTTACGTACACTTAGAAAAAACCTTCAGATTTCGCGCTGGTCTAAAATTACTCGACCATAATTATTACGTTTTCAATTGACTACAATAAATCACGTGGACAGACTAGCGCACCTAGGACTTAATTCTCGGGACAAATTTAACTTAGATGTAATTTCACTCTAAAGGAATATTACTCTTACGTTGGCTGTATAATTTGTTCACCCGCAGTCCATATAATTGAATAATTAATTTTTCCGGATCATTTCGAGTTATTGTATGTTCAATGATACAAAATGATTCGTTGAAATATAGGAAAATACTTTATAATATAATAATATCTGTACAAACATAAATATGAATATACTAGATAATAAATAGATTTCGGGTGACTTATGTTCCGGAGACACAATTGAGTGATCATGTTTACGGTACTGGTTTTTTATCGTTCTCGACTAGTGACTGAGTTTGGTGATGGTTATTTTAAAGTTTTTAGTGATATGAACTTGATGAGCAAAGATAATATTAAATAAAATTACGTAAATTTGATACTTTGATTAAAATCGAACTAAAATTAAAGGTTATCCGTCATTATCCCAGGAAACCCAATTAAAATAATAAAAATACAGTGATCGACTTAATTAGAAGCTTCTACACTCTGTATTATCCGCCATTTAATTTTTTATTATTATTTATATTTATCTGTTTATTTTTATAAATTATTCTTATTGTATCATGTTGGATAAAAAAAACTTTTAAATACAAAATAAATGTAATATTATTCGTATAGGTACTATTGTACTGATCGTTTTTTGTAAATATTGACTATCTAAAGTTTACGTGACATAAAATTACTACAGGTCACGACCTCACAGGTTGAAAGCAACACTATGATACGATATGATATTGTAATTTTGGGTCACTTAGATATTTTAATTATTGGACTATATAAATTATAATACAGTTATAGTAACTATATTGTACAGTATTCGAACTATCATAAAATGTAAGAATGATTATTACCTTGGACATTCTCTCCGTTGTACTTAACGAATAACTCGTGTAAGCCTTCTTCCTTGGGGCCGTATTTAAGTGAGACCGTGCCATCATGGTTGTCCTCGATGGACGGTAGATCACGTTTACCGCTTGGCATTGTAATTTCAGCTGAAAAATAAACTTACGCTATACAATGTTAATCTTACACACAAGCACTCGGCCATTTAAGTATAAATGGGACTTTTTGGCGATGCCGTTTTGACGATGATTCATTTGGGCGATGGATTTTTGACGACAAGTGGTCAAGATGACAAAGGTCATTTATGCACATTTTAACTTTTTTGCGACTCGTTTGCAAACAAACACACATCTTTGCACACACGAATTTTACTATATTCACTTTACGATATAGTAGTAAAAGTTACTAAATTACGTTGGGTATCTGAATTTGCTCAACCACCATCTTATCGATATTGATAAAGTCAAATAATAGTCGTGCGCGAACGATTATCACCGAATAAGATGGAATATCTTACGAAACACGATTTGTTAAATAATTAGTAGCAGTTATTATTACAGCTGATTAGTACAACTAAATTTTTATTTGGGTGACATAAGTGATTTTTTTCTGATGTCGTAATTTCTATTAAAATGGCATTAATTCCAAAAGAATTAGTAATATATTACACCACGACGGTTTTATGTATGTATAGATGTATTCAACGAATTTAGTACAAATGGGCAAACAAAATTTTTGCGATGTTTGAAAAAAGACATTTGTTCGGCTAGAGTGTGCACAATTTAGAATTCATTATTAGACTTCCTTAAAAAGAACACACTCGTGATTCCAAAGTAGCTAAAATCGAAGTAGAATTTGCAGTTTCAAGAATGAAAAGGTGAACAATAGAAACGGAGACGGAAGCAACGTCTTCCATAATAAATGAATGTGTCAATGGAATAACACAACCGGTAAAAGTAAATGATTAAAATAGTTTAAAATGTAAAATTTTAATGAAAACCTATTAGACTTTGACTAAGTTCATATGTGCCAATCGCACACACCCATACGCGCCCTCGTCAGATTGACGCGATTATTAATAATACGTAGGTACGATATGCGCAGCTGTGAAATGGGCCTTAGTGTTGTTGAATAAATAGATGAAACTGATATTAAAACTAATCAACAGGTATATGAAAAATTGAGACATATAATATTTTATAAAAGGAATATCTCATAACATAACTTTAAAATAAATAATATATTTAAATAAAAAATTTAAATGTAAATAATTATTGATAAAAATGTAATATTGACGTATAATGTTTAAAACTGTATAATTAATAAATTTAATTTGAATAGTATTTAGTTTTATGATTTAATTTTAATTTTTGTTTATACCTAAGTTATATTAACAACACTTTTTAGAAAATCTGCATAAATCGCCGAAACAGTGTCACCCGAATAAACCGTCATCAAAATTATATCGCCGAAACAGCAGCGCTGAAATGGCATCGCTGAAAAGTCCTTGATCGCATTTAGATATTTTAACGAGGCTGGGCAAGTGTATGACGTTGATCTATTAGTTTAGAGTCTTTTTCCCAGTTAAGTTATAAGTTTGAGCCAAGAGAAAATTTCTATACGTAAATTAAGTCAACAATGAAACATTAATTTAATTTAATTTAATTTTAATTTAAAAAACTATGTGTTTAGTGGAAACTGTTTGAAAAAATGTTCTGTTGCTTTTTAGTTTACGCAAAAGTAAACGGGTTAAATAAAATATTAAGAGTTGGTATATAAATCGACACCAATAGTGTTAAGTCGATAGATTTAAATCAAATTGACTTAACGAATGGGTACACCTGTCACACGAAATCGTATGTGTACCTATAATAATATAGCTATAATAATAATTCATTTTCTCAGCCGAAAAATAAAAATCGATTAAAATTAGATTAATATTAATATTATTGAACGGGCGAAACGAAATTTAATATAATTTAGTGACTACATCTATAACAACTATGGATATGAAATATTTGCGTTGTGTACCGTGTGACACGAAATAACTTTCAGACTAGATAAATTTACCGTGGACATTCACATCTTGTCATCCTGTTGATTTATATTACAAGAGAGTGCAATACAAACTGCTCCGCGCGAATCTGTTAATGTCAGATGCTTGTATTTTTAGGTCTGTCAACACTTTTACGCAGTCACAAAAGTTTATTTTACACGAACACGAGCGTTCGTTCTACACGAATGAAATGGATTTAGAAACATATCCGATGCCTATTTTTCATGATGCGTCGAACGTTTAGACAGTGAGAAAATGTTATCAGACAGCGGCTTTGAAATATTGAATAAAAGTGTAGGTAACGAGAAAACGTTGGCAGAATATAGAAAGTAATATAAATCATAGGAATTGCGTATAGTTTAACAGAAAACCGAATTGTAATCAAACAATTTGAAAGTTGCTAAGCGTACACATAAGTATTTTGAAAATAATTTTCAACTCTAGGACCGATCGGTGAACGTATAAGGACAGTACAGCTCGCTGCGTCGCGGTTAAATCACGTGAAACTTTTTTTTTTCCGGTAATCTCATAAGTAACCACGACACGGGTGTGTTTTAACCGCCGACCGCGAGCTGCTTTTGTCCGTTCCACCAATATTATTTGGTAAATCAGACAATCGTGTACACCACCTTATACAGCCTCTCATCGCGAACAGCGGCGTAAACATCATTAAGCGATGTTTCAAGTGCCCTTTCGACGAACGTTTCGATATCGAAACCGATCCCTGGTATCCCGAAACACGTGACACGACCTATAGACGACTGTTTATTTTTTTCACGACAACAACGGTTCGAACAAGACTATAGTAGCAACGGTACACTCAAAGGTGCAACGAATCCGGTGTAAGATTAAATAACAATGTTAAAACGAACGGATTGTGGGTGGCTAAAACGCTACGACTTTATCCGGACCTGGTGCGGTGGCAAGTTGTGCGGTATGCGTACTGCAGGATCATCATCAACCATTATCAGGAAGACACGGTATATTGCACACGGATCTATAGATCTTCGTACCCCAGGCACCAGTCTTTTCCGTTCTTGGGATCGTTTCCTCAACGAACAAATCATAGCGATACAATGCGTTTAGCTAACCGCTCTTAGTGAATCCGCGTGGACAGCAGACCCATCAAATAAAACGTTCAGAACTGTTACATGCAGCAAAACGGTTTTCCTAAGAGCATTTTGCATTAAGTGATACGTTTTAAACGAGCGCCGGGTGTCGTAATAGCTGCAGCTGTCAATCGGTACCAAACTATTTCCCGTGAAAGAAAACCGGTTGAATCCGAACCGGAAAAAAAATTTGGGGTGCCGTCAGAGGCGCAACGGGTTCAATAGGCATCTGAACGCGCGTTCGATCGAGGGTACCGTGGTTATAGGTTTTCACTCGTTATAGGCGCAGTGGTCCAAGGGAGGGTCATGCGGTCGTGGGTTGCGGTGGAAATAACATGGTGACGCTGGCGAGCTCGTTCAGAGAAGAAAAATACGACCTGACGGTCGCCACCGCTGTTTTCCGCGGTTGATTAGTATTTTTTTCACAAAATTGTTCAAAACGTTATGGCGTATGTTATACGTGCGCGTGGATCGTTTTTAAAAATCCTGGACGCGATTAATGGGGGCACGGAAACGAAAAGAAAATGAAAATAGTCATGAAGTGTCCTGTATGCGTGACAAGTGGTGCGGACGGACGCGGAAACGATGATCAATCGATCGGCCGATGTAGACCTCTGTTGCCGGAACGCAACGTCGCTTCCCTGTGACGCCACTGGGTTTTTACCTTTCTTGGTGTTGACGTAGAAAAACGATAGAAACGTAGTTATGGGTCCCGCGGGTCTGGTCACCTTGTCTATCACGTCGTCGCCGCCGTCCGCCGTCTCACCAGCCGACCCGATGTGGACGGCCACCCCGGTATCGTCAGTGGTTGCCTCGTGGTGGACGTGGTCGTAGGCACGTGACAGGTGCATGACGCTGACGGCGAGCGCGTCCACCTCACTGAGGGTTAGGCATTTCAGGTAAGGGCGGTAAGCGGTCGCGAAGCACGTCCACGTGGCCTCGTTCACAGGCAGCTCGAAGTGGAACAGGTACACCATGGCGGCGCGGGTTATGTACGTGAAGCGATGATGGTGTTGTGCGCGCGTGTATCGGTCCGCGGGCGCGATGCGGCGACGTGTCGAGACGGAATACGCGAAGCGTGTAAAAACGGTGTGTCCGCTGCGCGACCGATATCTCGGCGGTGGCGGCGGCGGCGGCGGCGGCGGCAGCGACGGCGACGGCGACGGCAACGGCGGCCGTCGCGAGATTATTGCGCCTTATCTCGTCGATGGGAACGGGAACGGGAACGGGGACAGGGATTGACGTGCACCGCGTACATCAAAAGATTAGAGATGGTCCCGAGGAATTCGGCGGACTAAGCCAAACGGCCGTGGCGGATTAATGACGGCGAAATAATTATTTTACGTTTTATCAGCGATTTTTATTTTATTTTTTCCTTCTCGTTCCTCGGCCCCGCACTTCTCCGGTCCCTCGTTCGATCTGGACGGAAGGGGCACCCGGTCGATATATTAATAGGGATAATCACGCGCAAAATATCATAAAAACACGCGCGCACACGCGGGGCACGCCCCGTGAAACGTACCGTTCAGAGGTGCCCTGACCCGTCTACCCGGCCTCTGCCGCCGCGCGGAATCGGTCTAATTATAAGACACGAAATGACATTTTTCTACTCGCCACCCTCCCTCCGACGCCTCCAGGCTCGTCCGGCCGAGCGTGCGAAATTGATATTTTTATAATAAAAATGCATACGTGCGCGTGTGCCACGACGGTCGACCGGGTAGGACGCGTGCGCGTAATGAACCGTGCAGAGCGGAATCCGGCTGGACTGCTATGGACGTGGTTCACGTTTCGGCGAGCGTTTCGGATTAATTATCCGCGATGAAACGTTTAAAATTCAAACAAACAGTTCTGCATGGTTCACTATCTAGATGACAGTGACGTATACAGAAAATATTTTCGGGAGGGGTTACTATAGACAGAGTTATATTACCATTGCTATCTAAGAATTACTAACAAGACACAGTAGGTTCTTATCTACATTTCA